CAATAATGCAAAGGAGTCTAATACAATACAAAACACAGAGATATGACAACTTCGGCTTTAGATGAAATACACAGAATAAAAAAAAAGCAATTACAAGCAGACTGGAAGAGCCACAGTGATAAAATACTGGCCTTATAATTGCACATTTCTTTTTTCTCTTTTTAATCAAAATCTCAACTAGCCACTTTAAAAGCTGATGTTTGACAAGTTACAAATGTGGTTACTCATTGTACCACATTCACCCATATCTATAAAATGAAATAGGTAAAGTAGAAGAGCTTTAAGGTTCAACTTCCATGATTAATTTATTCTTCTGCTCTCCTGTTCTATGAATTCTATGCCATGCATAGCTAAAGAAAAACTGACTGGAAAGGTAAGCTGCTAATAATAATAAAATAAGACTTTAGTATACTGGCAAAATCCTTTATGCCTTACTCCAACCACAAACTTGTTCGATCTCTTTGATGGGGTGGGGTATTTTTTGCTTCTATTGGCTTGTTTTGCCATAATCTTTTTTTTTTAAGATTTTATTTATTTATATGAGAGAGAGAGAGCATGAGAGAGGGGAGGGCCAGAGGGAGAAGCAGACTCCCTGCTGAGCAGGGAGCCCGATGCGGGACTTGATCCTGGGACTCCAGGATCATGACCTGAGCCGAAGGCAGTCGCTTAACCAACTGAGCCACCCAGGCGCCCTGCCATAATCTTTTAATATTGAGGCAAGCTTGGGTTTCTCTCATCACTGGTTAATGGGAACTAAGTCCATTTCTGTGTCCACGACCAGAAAAACAACACACACACACACACACACACACACACACACTCTCTTTCAGTTTTATAATATTATTTGATATACCAGTGAGACATATAATTCATAATCATAACCCCTGAGACACCTTCTCCCATAACTGTTTAACTACAGGATAGGTATGTGGGCAAAACATAACTGAAGAGAAATTCCAGATTGAATTATGGTCCATTTCAAACAATTAAAAGTCTTCCAAATGTTCTTATGAAAATATCAATCTTATTTTCATTCCTAAGACAGATACAATTCAAGGTTAAACAAACAAAAGAGTCATAGTCGATGTGTGAAAGAGGCTTATAAGATTTCCACAGTAGTGGAAACTGCTAGTTGCATATACTAAGAAGTAAAAATCAAAATAAGAAAAGTTGTGAATTACTCTAAGTTGTGCATAAAGCTTTATACTTGTTTCTGATATACAAAATATTTCATATACAAAGTAAGCATGCCATGTATGGTGGGGAAATAAAACACAAAGACAAAATAAATCTTATTTTTGTTAAGTACGAAAAGTAAAAGAAACAACGACTATTTCGCAACTACTTTTTTAAACACTGACATCCTCTTCTTTCAACATTTCTGTTTTGAGGAGCAAATTCTTCTGACTGAAATGGAATATCACCCTTCAGGTTTGAAAATTTTTAAGCCATGATTTTCTATTATTTCCTTAAATCACTAACTATCTCTATAACAAAAGATAACATTGGAAGTATAACTTCATCAGGCACATTGGGAGCCATTCCACTCTGTAATTTTCTAGGATACAGGAAGATGGACCCAGTCTCTCCAAATATTCTCTCTGGGCCTTTTGAAAGTTGTAACACTGTCTTCAGTTTGCTAGGGCATCATTTAATTTGTCATAGGAGTCCATGTGAGAGCAGCAACTAGCTGATTTTGTTGATAGATTTCATCAAACAACATTTTTGAGCTATATATCCTGAATTTGTACATGCTAACCAATATAATTTTGAACTTTATTATTCAAATATAACTTTAGGGGTTCAATAGATATCTACTTGCATGGATAAACACCCATACACACTACCGTGATTGGTGGTAGTAAGAGAAACAAAATAACTTTTTAAAACATTGCTAGTCTTTCAAACACCTTTACCATTTACTTGAGGGGCTTTCCTTCAATGCAATTAATCAAAGTTGTGGAATATATTAAAATAAAAAGTCTATAAAGAAAAGTGAGTTTCAAATAAATATAATAAAGTTTTTCTCTAGTTCAAGTTCTTGAGTATCTATTGACTGCTAGGTCTTGGAGGAACATCAAAGAATAAATTTAAAACCTGGCAACAAGTAGCTTACAACTTCATGTGGATAAAGAAGCACAAAACATTATATAAGACTTTGCAAAGTGCCCGGACAGAGGTCTATACTGGAGGCCAAACCAAAGAAGCTGACAGTGGACCAGCACGGTGCCTGAAAGGGATGCCTTCACTGAGGCTGAAAGGCAAAGATCAAAAAGAAGATTTTCAAGATAGAAACAACATAAACAACTCCAGAAAGGACTAAAACAGTACAGATTGTTTTGAGAAATACAAGATGTTCAATATTGCTGGAGCAAGAAACAGAGTGAGGGGAAATACTCTCATGGGTAAGCAAGAGTGGTATGGAAAACAACCCAGAAGGATAGCAGAAGACCAATACAGAACCAAAGTAGCAGCTCAGTCAAGAAGAAACTCACTGTGCCAAGAAGACTGACCTTTATCTATGAGCAATAGAGAGCCAGGAATGAGAGTGCTTTAGCAGCAAAGCAAAGTGTTCAGTGGGGTGGGAGACTGATCCTTCTAAGGGTCATGTAGCAAAGGGACTGATAGTATACAAGGTTAATATTAGTATTTCAAGCTAAATTCATTCATCTTACTTCAATAGACAGTTAATACATGATACAAAAGGTCTTATATTCTTTCTTTATAATATGCCTATATATAAAACACATATATAAAAGCTGTTTATAAATATGATAAATAACCACCATCAGGATTGATATTAAAGCCAAAAACAATGTTGAGAAGGTATCTCAAGTCTTAAAATGCTCAACCAGCCTTCAACCAAAATACATTCCATTTTAGACATTGTCAACCAATGTCACAATTTTCTCTTTGCTTTCTTGTTTAAAGAGACAACTTTCTTTAGTTTCTTTTTATTGTGCTAACTTTATTTGGCCTGCTTTCTGCCCAAAGTTTCCACAGGGTATTTCAGAAACAAGATACCAAAAGGAATAAAAATAAAATCAGTAAAAAAAAGTGTAAGAAAGTAATTATCATGTACATATGCAACATATAAAGTGAAAAATAAAAGACACTGAGTAAAGAACTGAAATTGTAATCTTGATTATAATTACCCAAAGGCAGTAGCAAAGAAAAATTTAATTGAGAAATGCCCATTCTAGATCAATCACAGTTGCATTTTCAAAATAAACATATTGTTGTCCAAAATCTAAATCAAACCCATTAAGAAACTGGTAAGCAGAACTTGAAAAGGACAAAGAAAAAGCTTGATTCAGAGGCTAAAACAAGCATTAAATGAATGTTAAAATACAGTTTAAATTTAGATGTGAGATTGCCTTTAAAGCATTCCTGAATTAATAGAACTGATTTTGAAACACTTTGCATTATTTGGGAAATTATATGAGATTCAATAAAAAGTGATATTCTATAATGATTGGCCTCATCTTAAGATATTTACTTTACATTTAGAACTATTCCACCTGCTGTTTTGGATGTGGTTTATTCTATTTTAGATGAGATGGTGCCTGAATACTACCCCTAACACAAAATCTGTGCCAGAGTATTAGCTTTTCCTTGTATCTCTTTTGTCCTACTCTTTAAGCTCTGCAAGAAAATTTAGTATTATCATTGTTTTTAACTTAAACATGTGACACAGAAAACCCTTTGGAACTATAATCAGCATCTGTAACCCAACCTAAAAATGTTACATATCATGCTAACGCTTATAGTGCTACAATTTAAAAACTAACAACAGGGGAAGCTTTCACTGTGTCAGTAGGTAAATGTCACCTAGTTAATGCCGTACTTCCAGCAAAGCAACGTTATTTACTTTCCATGCCACGTGTAGTAGACATAAACCATAGTAGTTTATAAATTGTGTGGGTGTTCTAAATCAGAAAATAATGGAAAACAATCTCTTTCTGTCCTCTTCAGCACCACTGCTTTTGATGTTAACCTGGGATATACAAAACAATGACAAATGAACATCCCACAGCATGGTGAACATGCAGAGAAACGTATCAACGTGCTAAATGTGACGAAAGGAAAACAAACTACCAGCGTGCAGCAAGACATGTTCATTTAATGACTTTAGTAGGGAATCGCTTTTTGTAAAGAACCAACTAGCATGTCGCTTGGACAGATCAACTCTCCCTGACACTTGATTTGCATCTTGGACGCTGAAGACTGTTCTCACTTCTCACCACTCCCTGTTCTCTCTGTTCCCAAAGCTAGTCCTTGATTCACTTTCATGCACTGTCAAAGGGACGTGGGCTTGCTTTTATTTTTTTATTTTTTTTAAGATTTTTTATTGAGAGAGAGAACAAGCGTATGGGAGAGGCAGAGTGAGACGGAGAAGCAGGATTCCCGCTGAGCAGGGAGCCCGATGCGGGGCTCGACCCAGGACCCTGGGATCATGACCTGAGCCAAAGGCAGACGCTTAACAACTGAGCCACCCAGGCGGGCTTGCTTTTAAAAAGAACCCGCGTCGCTCACATTCACAGCATCTACACTGACAAGCCTACTACGTCTTCACACGCTCATCTGAACTTTTCTCCTATTCCAATTCTGGACCACTCATGACTGTAAACTCAGTAATATGGTCCTGCTTTAATCCTGATATGAAAGCAAACAGGAATTTACCCATCGGAAGACTTCAAGTTTGACAGAATGAAGAAACAGAAACTTGCTGATGGGACACAACATGAAGTCAGTGGTAGAGCACCTTTCCCACCCCCCCCACCCCCCTAACCCCGTATTTCAGTGTATCCTGAATGGACACAGCATTCTCGAGAGCAGTACTCAGCACTACATGGCCACCAAGAACATTCTTAAACATCAAGCAGCCCCTCCTTGCTAGCTTTAACATGCCACACAGAACTTTGCTCACTGATGCAAAGCAGCCAACAGGGACAGGGAGTTTACGAGGAAAAGCAAGACTGAACTGGCTCATTCCTTACCTTCTCACTTATGGCAGGCTGGCTCGTTTAACTTTTTGTTTCCTCTCTTGTCATAGCTCAGCGGTGAATGATGATGATTCAGCAGAAGTTTGAACCTGACAGTGAAAAAGAATTTTTTAAGCAAAAATATTGAAAACCACTGTTCTCCCCACTGTAGTCTGTCTTTCCTTGCCCTCTGTGTGCGTGTTTCTCTCCCGTTTTCTCTCTCTCTGCAAGGCAGCTACGTAGTGGTCTATAAATATTGGCCCTGACACTTGCTCAGTGCTTTAGCTGCTCATGGCACAGGTCTGTGTTACTGAACACCGTGGTAATACTCCGGCAAAGTTCTCAGCTGCTCAGACAAAGCTGTGGATTGGCTCACTACCGAGCAACCCTGTGCCTGCCTGGAAATACCATTTTGCTGCCAGCTTTACAGATGCTATGGGCTTTTCCTGAGGCCCAAGTCAGGCACAGAAGGGCAATTATGAGGTTTGTCTGAAGAAATAGCTTTTCTCAAGCAGGTGAAGAAAAGGGGGTGGGGGGGTTGGGTGAAGTGAAAGACAAGAAAGGAAATATTTGCCTTTGTTTCAGCCAAACAACATCACCTCAAGCCCTTTATAAAGGTTAGACCTAAATATCATTCAATCAAGCTTTGTAAAAGTGAATTACTATGTATTATGAATGGCCAAAACACAGAGGCAAGCATTTTTATAACTGCTTTTTAATTTTGCTTCTCTTTGAGTAAGGCTGTAGTAACTGAGTAATTGGTCGCAAAGAAACGTTGCAACACAGGTAAGTTCATCTCCAGAATGACAGAAATGCACTGAAAAGTATATTAATCAGATCAAATCATATATTTGTTGAAAGAGGCTAAAATATAATCTGAAAATTATATGACTCAACATATTATATTAACTAATTCTAAATTTTCAATCATGACAATTTGAATTATTTTAGTTTATTTTTTTAGTTTACGGATAATATCTAAGCCATGATGCTATATAGTTTGCAGGTGATATGTACAAGATCAGCATTATCTATATATACCACACATAATGTCCATAGTACGAATGATTAGAAAATAAATCAAGTCCGTATTTTCTATTCTTCTTCCCTAGAATAATTATATGTTTGCTTTACTGAAAGTTTGTCTCTCTTTGTTTTTTTTTAAAGATTTTATTTACTTATTTGAGAGAGAGAGTGAGAGAGAAAGAGCACAAGAGGGGGGAGCGGGAGAGGGAGAAGCAGGCTCCCTGCTGAGCAGGGAGCCCAATGCGGGGCTCGATCCCAGGACCCTGGGATCATGACCTGAGCCGAAGGCAGACACTTAATGACTGAGCCACCCAGGCGCCCCTTTTATGACTATTTTAATAAAACTCAAACCACTGATTAAAAAACACAAACTTCCTTAAACAGTGGAAAGGGCTCTATAACCAAACTCTTAGCATTCACAAGCCCTATCCTCATTTCTTTTTTTTTTTTTTAAGATTTTATTTATTTATTTGAGAGAGAATGAGAGAGAGCACATGAGAGGGGGGAGGGTCAGAGGGAGAAGCAGGCTCCTCGCCGAGCAGGGAGCCCGATGCGGGACTCGATCCCCGGACTCCAGGATCATGACCTGAGCCGAAGGCAGTCGCTTAACCAACTGAGCCACCCAGGCGCCCTGAAAGTCTGTCTCTTGAAAGTAAATCAAGAGTAAAGAAAACCTTAGAAATAATGTGGTCACTTATCATTTTACAGATAAGAAAACCGACCCCCCAGGCTGGTTAACTTATCCATGGTTACATGGCAAGTTTGCAGCAGAGCCAAACCTAGAGTCTGCCTTACTGCTCACAATCTGTGCTCCTTCTATTACAAGAGTGATCATTAAACTCAGTTTTATGTTCAAAATCCTATCTTCATGTGAAATTTTATTGAAAACCTTACCAGAGTAAGAGCAAATATTACAGCCAGAAAATTAACTAGCATAAAGCAAAAATAGCCTTTTACAATTTGACTTCCCAAAAAAAGTTATGCACAAGAATTAACTTTCTAACAACTGAAATCCATCTTTGTTGCATTCAATAATTAATATTTGCCCAATAAATTAACTTATTCCCAGGAGAGGTATACAGCTAACTGCTGAGGAGGCAAAGATAAACCATAGTTTCTACTCTTAGAAATCTTACAGTCCAATATCAGAGAAAAACAAGCTAATGACAAAACCATGTTTGCGGGATGATGAAGACTAGCAGAGAGTGGTAAGGAGTACTGGAGCGCAGGCATCGAGTCGACTCCAGTATGAAGGGGGGGTGGGATCCACAGGGAATTCCTCAATCAAGACTTCTGTACATCATAGCAAGGGTGGGAGGCAGTGAGGCAAAGATGGGGAAGAATGATACAGTAAAAGGCAGGAAAAAACATGGTATAGAACTTCAAGTAGTTTTTCTTGCTGTAGCACACAATGTGGAGCAGGAAATGGTTAATTTTCTTAAAGGACCAGAAGCATAAAAGTGATGAAAGGTTTTATATACCAGGTTTAAAAACATGGGTTTTATACCTCATGCTAGCAGTCTTCAACTATTTTTGCTTACAGACCGTTAAAAGACTTAAATTACGGGAACTACTCACACATTAGCAAGTTAACATTGACAATTTTTCATCTGTGGTAAAATAAGTACCTGCAGAGAATTTAATTTCTACCCTATTGAAGTACTGACATTTTAAAGTAAAACTTAGAAGAATACTCAATGGACTATAAATCCATAATAATTTAATAAAACTATTATCTATTTAAATAATAAACTTTTTTAAACTTTTTTTTGGAGAGAGAGTGAGAGCATGAGCAGGGGGGGAGGGGGGAGGCACAGAGGGAGAGGGAATCTCAAGCAGCCTCCCACTGAGTGCAGAGCCCAAGATGGGGCTCAGTCTCACAATGAGATCATGACCTGAGCTGAAATCAAGAGTCAGACGCTTAACCAGCTGAGTCACCCAGGTGCCCCAATAAACTCTTCTTCTAACAGCTGAAAATTCTACATTACTATTTTATTTTCTTGACCTTTATTGCAATCTCACTCCCTCATAGAATTTTTACACAAAATATTTTATAATTAAGTCTTTCATTGTTTATGCTATCATACTTCTCTCCAACAAAAATCTAAGGCATTAATTGAAATTTTTAAGTTGTTAAATTTTCTATAACTGTGGGGCAATGTACCATGGTAGGATTTGGGATGGATGAAAGTATGCCTTTCTTTTGTAAAGTAAGAGAAAGATTGTTATGAATAAAGCACTGCTCTTAGCCAGATCAATATTAATAAAGAGTTTACGTGGAAGTTGAAAATCTGGACAATGATTCCATTAAAACCATCCATTCAAATGCTAAGTGAAAGAAACCAGTCTGAAAAGGCTATATACTGTGTGATTCCAACTATACGACATTCTGGGCAAGGCAAAAAATGTAGAGACAATGAAAAGATCAGTGGTCACCAGAAGTTTGGGGTGGGGTGGAGGATGAATAGATGAAGCACAGGAGATTTCAAGGCAGTGAAACTATTCTGTATGATATGTAACAGTAGATGCATAGCATTATGCATTTGGCAAAACCCATAAAACTGTACAACACAAAAACAAAGCCCTAATAAAAACTATGGACCAGCTAAATCCCTTCCCTTGTCTTCCTGAAAGCATGTGTTCTAGAGAAAGTAGTATTATTATTTATTGAGCAATTGCCATCTAATAGGGGCCTTAGAAATACTAACTTTAACACTAGAAACAACCCTAATAGATGAGTATGCTTTCACCTTTTTTTAGATAAATAAAATGAGGCTTCCAGTTATTAGGTGGGTTGTCTGAAGTCATCTAACTAATACATAGATCTGGAACTCAGCTCAAACCTGTCTGACTGGACTACAATAGCACATACTGCCTTCCTATCAGTCACTTAAATAAGACTGGGTAGAGGCTGCCCAGGGCAGGCAAGGAAGTAGCTAAGCAGTGCCTTCAGAAAGTCAGAAAGGAATGAAAGAATCACATGCTGCACTTCTATCAAGGAACTGCTAGAATATTGAGTACTAAAGGATAGCAAAAAGAAGAGATTAACAGGGCAATCAGTGAAAATCAGTGGACAAAATTAAAATAATTGTTATGTGCTATTAAGAAGAACTGAAAAGGTTGTATCTTTAATTTGACTGAAAGGTAAGGAACACATGAAGAAACAAAGGTATGAAGACTCAATGTTGACAAAGTGTCAGTTCTTCCCAACTTTATCTAAGGATTCAGTGCAATCCCAATCAGGACATTATTTTGTGGATATGGACAATCTGATACTAACATTTATATGGAGAGGCAAAAAACCCAGAATAATCAACACCAACATTGAAGGAGAACAAAGTTGGAGGACTGACACTACCCGATATCAAGACTTATTATAAAGCTATAGTAATCAAGACAATGTGATGTTGGAGAAAGAATAAACAAACAGATCAATGGAGGAAAATAGCAAACCCAGAAATAGACTCACATACATATAGTCAACTGATCTTTGATGGAGGGACAAACTCTGTATAATGTAGCAAAGATAATCTTTTCAACAAACGGTGCTAGAACAATTGGACATCCATATGCAAAAAAAATAAATAAGAAGAATCAAAACAAAGACCTCACACCATCACAAAAATTAACTCAGACCTAAATGTAAATAAATGCAAAATTATAAAACTCATGGAAGGTAAAATAAGAGAAAACCTAGATTACCTGGGGTATAGTAGTGAATTTTAGATATAACACTGAAGGCACAATGCATGAAAAAAAATAACTGATAAGCTGGATTTCATTAAAATTAAAAACTCTGCAGAAGACAATGTCAAGAGAATGAGAAGATAAGCCATAGGCTAGGAGAAAATATTTGCAAAAGACACATCTCATAAAGGACTGTTAACCAAAATTTACAAGAACTCTTACAATTCAGCAATAAGTAAACAAACCTATTTTAAAAATGGGCCAAAGACCTTAACAGACACCTCACTGAAGAAGACACACAGAGTGCAAATAAGCATATAATGGACTCTGAGAAACAAACTGAGGGTTCTAGAGGGAAGGGGGTGGGGGAATGGGTTAGCCTGGTGATGGGTATTAA